TTATAAAAATAATGCAGAGATCTTATGTCCCCATCGTCCAGCTTCCCCAAATGGTAACATCTGACGTAAGTACAGTACACCGTTGAAACCAGGAAATTGGCAATTAACAGACTAACAGACCTTACTTAGATCCACCAGTTTTTGTATGTAGTCATATTTTTAAGTGTGTGTGTGCGCGCGTTTGTGTGTATGTATGTATAGTTCTGTGAAGTTTTGTCACACATATAGATTCATACAACCACAACACAATCAAGATATAGAACTCTTGTTACTATGAAGAAACTCCACTGTGCTGCTACCCATTTACTTCCTCCTCTCTCCCTAACCTCTGATCTCTTCTCTGCTTCTATAATTTCATCATTTTGAGAGTGTTATATAAATAGAATTAAACACCTGCTGTCCACCAAGCCCCAGGCTGCAACCATGGCCTGTTAGGAACCCGGCCCCACAGCAGGAGGTAAGCCAGCAGCAAGCCGGTGCAAGCAAGATCAGCAGCAGCATTACATTCTCACAGAAGCTCGAACCCTTCTGTAAACTGCACATGCGAGGGATCTAGGTTGTGCGCTCTTTCTGAGAATCTAATGCCTGATGATCTGAGGTGGAGCTGAGGTGGTTATGCTAGCGCAGGGGAATGGCTGCAAATACAGATATCATTAGCAGAGAGGTTAACAATGTAATGATAACAGAAATAAAGTGCACAATAAATGTAATGTGCTTGAATCATCTTGAAGCCACCCCCACCAGTCTGTGGAAAAACTCTTACATTAAACCGGTCCCTGGTGCCAAAAAAGTTGGGGACCGCTGTTACACAGTATTTAACGTTTTTGTTTTTTTTCTTTTGGAGTGCCCAGGCATGAGGGCAGTGGCATGATCATAGCCCACTGCAACCTCAAACTCCTTGACTCAAGTGATCCTCTTGCCTCAGCCTCCCAAGAAGCTGGGACGATCTGCATGCACCGCTGTGCCCAGCTAATTTTTGTATTTTTTGTAGAGATGGAGTCTTGCTGTGTTGCTCAAGCTGGTCTTGAAGGTCTGACCTCAATCAATTCTCCTGCCTCAGCCTCCCAAAGTGCTAGGATTACAGGCATGAGCCACCACTTGCCAGTATTTAACCTCTTGAGATTGGCTTTTTCCATTGACTCCGAGATCCACCAAAGTTGTTGGGTGCATCAATAGTTCCTTGTTTTTATTGCTGAGTAGTATTCCATGGTATGGCTACCTCACAGTGTGGTTATCCATTTACCTTTTGCAGAATGTTTGGATTGTTTCCAGTTTTTGTTTGTTACAAATAAAGCTGCTATGATATGAATTTATGGATAATACTAAATATTTATATACAGATGTTTGCATAAACTAAGTTTTCATTTCTCTAGGATAAATTTCCAAGAGTGGGATTGCTTGGTCATATAGTAAGTGGATATTTAACTTTGTAAAAAACTGCCACACTGTTTTTCAGAGTGG